AGAGTAAAGTTGCCAAGAAACTACGAGAAGGCACTTGAAATCATAGACAAGCATTTGGTATTCCATTTCTATATGTATTCTGATGTTGGTTGTGTTTACTTATTTCTTGAACCAAAACTTATTTTTAACGACTTTCTATTTCTGATCTGTAAATTCTTTGGAACTTGAAGATGTACTGGCCAAAGTTTCTTGTGCACAAAGCTAAACAGCGCCTGACAAAAATGACTCAGATGCGTATACGAATGAGGAAGCTGGCATTGAAAACAAGGTTTTGCAACTGCCTTTCTTTTGTTCTTCTGTTCTAATATTAATTTATTTTGTGTGACTACTTTCTTGGTTCTAGTAATTATTTACAGCGTTTACTGTAGGATATTTCATTATAATTGGTTGCTGTCAAGTTTATTGATGAACTAATTAGCAACTTTCTTTCCTTTTTCTTCTTTTATTTTTGATACATTTGTCAGACTGATTCATTAAAATTGCCACTTAGCTTTTTGCAAGGCTTGACTCATTTATATCAATCACATCACATTTAGTTTTTGGCCTCCTTCTGTCAATAAGGCTCGACTTTGTTGGGCCTGGTTTCTAGTTTCTGTTATTATTTATTTGTCGGAATGAAATTAGCGATGCACATGTGGGTTTAATGTTGGATATCTAGAAGAGAGACAGTGTTCAGAGTGAAAATCGTATGATTGGATGTGGTTATTGTGTTTCATCTTCATTATAGATGTTTAACACACTGATGTGAACAAATTCTTAAATGCTGAGATGGAGATATTATGAAACTTGCTTAAACAAGATGAGTGCCAACATGTTTCTAACCAAGGTTTTAACCTGATAATTTGTGTAGTTTTTGGTGTTTCCTTGTAATTTTATGATTATGTTACTGTTTGATGCCATTTTCATTTCCATTTTTCTTTCCGATTTACCCAAATATCAAATTCCAAAGCCCAGAGAGATCTTGTTTACCTCTACAGTTGATTTTGCATTAATTTTTGTTGCTAGGGAGAAGATAATGACTACACCCAGAAAAGAGATAAAGAGAGAATCTAGAAGGGAGAAAAAGGCTGAAACAGCTGCTGAACTGGATAAGGTTAAGATTCCTTTCTTTGATATAATTGTCTCAACCATGTTGTGGATTTACATAGTTCTAACCGGTGCTGCTTTCAACAGAGTATTGAGAAAGAGTTGCTTGAAAGACTCAATGGAGGACTTTATGGTGACATACATAATATTCTACCAAACTATTTCAACAAAATTCTTGACGAAAATGAACTGCATGCTGTTAGCGATGATGATGATGTAGTGGTATGTTTTTCTGGTAATTTTAAGTCGTTAATGTTGTGTGATACAAGAAGTCATTTCTGTTTTGTATGCTAAGGATTTTTGTGAATCAGCAGGAACCTGAA